GGCGTAAGAACCCGAAGCACTTACTGGCTGTAGGCCCCATTAAGAAATGCGGCCCGAAGGGTCGTGACCTGAAATATCAGTCAGAGGTCCTCTTGTACTGTTTTAGGAACCCCTGAGACAGAGCGGGTGTCAAAGTCGGTCAGAGACAGTGTGTTCACTGACCAGTCAGACCAGACCAGGTCAGCCACTGAACAGTGGGTCCCCTGTCAGTCTGAACCTTGGGGGCCTATTTGCCGGGCAGGGGCAAGGCCGAGGACCCGATTTGAATTGGGCTTGGGGTCCCCTGAAACAGTGGTTGGGGTCTCATGCCGGTCACTAGCTCACCATTACATAACGGGACGGTTCATGTGTCGGCTAGCGGCCCTAGTCGGTCACGGGCTTCGTTCGAGGAGGTCCGAAGAGGGACCGGAGGGGCCCACGGGACGAAGGATCGATGGCCTGATTGGACTAAGAGCCCCCCCCCCCCCCTTATATGTAGTGCCTTGACCTGAAATGTCAAGTCATAGGGGAGGGCTTTTAGTAGTGCCCTAGTAGCTATCTATTTTTATGCTCGCCGCGGACCACATGCTGCCCTCCCCCCCCCCCCCCCCCCCCCAATGAACGAGTGTAGTTTTGTTTGTTACATTTGGCACGGGCGCCCGTGCCGAACACCGCAGCGCCAGGCCAATCAATAAGGGGCCCTTCAAACACACCGACTCCGCCAGAGGCGAAACAGTAACCGTATGAAGGAAGACACGATGACATCGTGGAGAGTTACAACATGCAAGTCACAACAAGAGGCGCTCCCACCAGCCTGGTGCGCAGCGACGGCTCCAGTGCTGCGGCCGTCCTCCCCTCAGCCTTGTAAGCCCGGTGAGGAACCGCCGTACCCTTCGGCGATTCTCTGAGATTCCCGGCCTTTCTTTCCTTTTTAGACAAGGTGAGAAAACGCGCTCGGAAAGTTTTTTTAGATTACGTATTCGCATGTTACTCCTGGTCTGGTTATATCGTGTTTTGATTTCGTGTTTCCATCCTACTGTCTTGATAAATCATGCAATACATCAACCTCTACTGAATGACGGCCAGTGATAAGTGTCGAGCAGTAGAGCGGAAAATCCGGCCGATTGATCCCTAACCGTTCTACGCCATCAAAGTGCATTTTTCGCTGCTACCATTTCAGTCATGACTTATATGTAAGCACATTACACATGACATTGTCGATAGGGAAACTGTCGATAGTTTTCAATAAAATTTGGGATGAATTTGCTAAATGAGTAGAACCCCACTGCGGCCACTACGGAATAGTTATGAATTATCTAGCAACGCTTGATCCGGCCGCAAACACAGTCACTTCCCTTTCGGAGCGACTTAAACAGCCATACCTAAGGGTATGTTTATTCACCGCTATCTTCTGGTCGGTATTTAGCGATATACTCCTGTTGCCAAACAGTTAAGTCGCTTAACAGGAAACCACCGAACCTGGCCCCCATGTCAGGTCACTGGGGGCAGCAGCAACAACAGCATAATGACAGCCAAAGAATAGTCAACGTTGATGGCGTAAAAGCTCAGGGATCGATCGGCCGGATTCTCCCCTCTACTGATCGACACTCATCACCAGCCGTCATTCAGTGGACGTTGTCCGTAATCAATAATATTAGATAGAAAACTGTAGATGGTAAAATTGAGAGTCACGTAGTGGACGAGCAATTAAACATCGGACCTCGCCACCTATCGATGTATTGCATGATTTATCAAGGACAGTAGGATGGAAACACGAAATCAATACACGATATATACCAGACCAGAAGTGATATGCCAGTAAGTAATCTAAAAAACTTTCCAAACGCGTTTTTCTCACCTTGTCTAAAAAAAGGAAGAAAGGGCCGGGGATCTCAGAGAATCGCCGAAAGGTTGACGATTCCTCACCGGGCTTACAAGGCTGAGGGGAGACGGCCGCAGCACTGGAGCCGTCGCTGCGCACCAGGCTGGTGGGAGCGCCTCTTGTGACTCCCATGATTGTGAATCCCCACGATTGTCACCGTGTCTTCCTCATACGGTTACTGTTTTTCGCCTCTGGCGGAGTCGGTGTGTTTGAAGGGCCCTTATTGATTGGCCTGGCGCGCGTGTTCGGAACGTGCGCCCGGGCCAAACGTAACAAACAAAAACCGTACTCGCAACATTGGGGGGGGGGGGGGGGAAGCAGCATGTGGCCCGCGGCGAATAGATAAATAGATATATACGTCGCGCGCCACACTAGGGCCCTAACAAAAGCCCTCCAGTGACCTTTCAGGTCACGGAACCACATATCGGGGGGGGGGGGGGACTCTAGTCCAATAGGCCATTGATCTTTGTTCCCGTGAGTCCCCTCCGGTCCCTCTTCCGACGTTCTCGAACAAAGCCCGTGACCGACTCAAGGCTGCTAACAGACACATGACCTCCTGTTGTGTACTGTGAGCTAATGACCGACATGAGGCCCCAACCACTGTTTCAGGGACCCAGGCCAATGCAAATCGGGTCTTCGGCCTTGCTCCTGCTTGGGAAATGGCCCCCAGGGTTCAGACTGAAAGGGAACCACTGTTCAGTGTTTGTGGTCTCTGACCGGCTTAGACACCCCCACTGTCTCAGGGGGTCCCTAAACGGTGCGAGAATGCCTCTAACGGATATCTCAGGCCTCGACTCGACCAGCGCGACTACCCTGCCCGCCCCCGCAGACCGGGCCCCTGAATAAAGCACCGAACAGTCCTTCACACCATTATACTCTCCAACCGAACCCCGCGAGTCCTCCAAGCTCTTCGGGCCTCCTCGAACACTGCCCCTGGCTGACTCGGGGCCCCTTGCTAACACAGGCACCCTGTTAGTGCCGGTGGGGCCCTGACAAACGCTGGGGTCCCGATCAATGTAAACCGCCGGCTCCGGCTTTAACCCTGCTTGAGAAAACGGGCCCTCAGGCCCATGCCGCCACGGATCCGGTTGTTAGTGGTTGTCCGACGGACTTGCCCTTACATATGCCCTTATCGACTCGAGGACCGCTGATGGGCGCGCAAGGGACATCGAACTGACATTGGAGTACCCGGCCCTGCGCGCCGGTGTCCCTGCACACGATCTCTCGTCGGCCTTTCGGGCCCCTGGGAGCCTCCAATCGGGCTCTTAATCGTAGACCCCGAGGGAGGTCCGAAGGGCTCCTGGGAACCTAGGGAAGGGGGGCAGACACGTGCCCCCCTCTATCCGCGCTGCAAGACGCTGCAGCGGCGATGCCGTCGTAAACACTTCCATCCGTTATTTAGCGTATCCAATTTGCTCGTCCTCCATTCCACGTCAAGACGGAATCATTCACGCATTTATTTCACTTATATTTGTGCCAAGGCCCAGACTTGCACAGGTACCGCAATAACGCAGCGATATTGGTGGCAACAGGCCGGAAGGATCGCGCTCCGGCAATGCACGGGGCTATATCTGGGCTATATCCGAATGCGAGGTCCATTTCGTATTAGCGGTTGGAGACGAGTTATGCGTGTATGCTTGGCTAGGCAAGGGTTATGGGCAGCAGACCGTCAAACCAGCCGTACCGGAAGGGTTTACCAGCCGCGGTAGTACGCTCAAAACGACTTGAAAAAGAGCGTGGTCTTAACCCTCATGCACCTACCCCTCGCAGTGGCAATAGCAGTTCCATATACTTTCTGACACACTATGCGCCATAAGTGAAGCAACACAAAACGTCAACGGCCTCGTGAAGGCCACCGGTACTTGAATGCACAAAAAAAGATCCTCCCGCAGTCGTGAATTCATTAAAAAATCTAGTTCCGATATAGGCATCGTCAACAAGTGAAATGGCATGGCCAAAGCTTCGCGTAGTGTAATCCGAAAGGTGTCAGACGCTCACCAATTATACACATACAAGGCGGACCCACACGCACAATGAACATGCATACGCAGGCGCATAAAGCAAGTCTGAAAATGGCCCGCTTTATGGGCTTGTGAAGAACGATATGGGCCGACGCCCATCGACATTGATCGGATGCCATGCCAGTCAGCCACTCGCGTACGTCACCTATACCTCGCTCATAAAAATATACGGTTACTCCCACCACTTCGCACTCACTGCCGACTGGCAGCGCTTCCACAAATATATTCCACAGAACGTGCAGACACTATGAACCGATGATTCACACACCTCAGTTCTAAACAATCCTCGCACAGCAAAGTTGACAGGGCATCTCGCCTTCCACGCACTCAACCGCTTCATGTCTGTCAGTGATAGTGAATAGCCTGCTTGGCTTTCAGTTTATCCGATTGGCTTTGGGCTTGCCGCTCAGACAACACCTTCGGCAAAAGCTGATTGGCCTTCTTTTCCTGAATACGTTCTCTTCTGAGAGCTTTTAACTCATGTTTCCTTGCCTTCCTTTCACCAGAGGTCTCACCCTCAGGCCGCACAGACAACATAGAAATCCTACTTGCGAGCGTTTCATTGCCGAAAGAGGACTCGGACCCATCACTGTCGTCACCAGATTCTTCTCTCTCCTTTTATTCAGTTGTGCGAGAGCCTTTTTCGTCAACTTTGGCTTGTCATCTTTGACTATGCCCTTCTTGTCTATCTTGATTTTTTGCATGCTACTCGGACCATCGATGAGGTGAGGCAGATTCCGTTTGTTGGAATACGTGGACAGAATACTTTCACAGTCCATTCTGTCCTCTTTCAAATTCTCGTACACTGTGAGAAAAACCAGGTCTTCATCATCGCGATCTTCCTTGGTCTCTCTGACGGCTACTTCCTTTTCAATCGTCGGCTTCTCTTTTGCCTTCTCGAATTCAGCAGCAAGCTGAAGTAAGCGATCCGAGTTCGGATCCAGTGCACCGGCGATCTCCTCCCGATTCCAGACCACCTACTTCAAGATCCTCGTACTGTCCCATGAAATTGTCGAAATCTCCTCGTTCAGTGCCTCCATTTCCACCGTACTGAGCACCCCCTTGACTTGTGGTGGAGTACTCGGTGAACTGAGACTTGGACTCATGTCTGAATGGCTTTAGATCGTGGACGGCTTCTTCGTCGAACTGATCAGAATCAAAATCCCCATCCTCATCATCCATTCCACCTCAATCTCGTCGTCGCTTTCACTGTCAGTCGCCAGGCCACCCGCTAACTCGAAGAAATTGTCCTCTAATTCATTTTGGGGGTCGTGCGCGTAACCATCATCCATGATCTCATTCAACTCGGACTCAATTTCGTCGGGAGGGCTGTGATCCGGCGCTGCTTTGTTCAGCAGACCGACCTTCTCCTCCACATTCGAAGCGAAGAGTGACGATGGTAGCTGCAGGGACGGGCCCGCCCTCCGACAACTCATCCTGAGGAGATGCGTGGGGGCGCTTGCCCCTTTCTTGGCGGCGGCCACGGACTCCACCCAAACGACATCTTGCTTTTTGGCATCCTTCATATGCTGGAGATAGTTGTAATCGTCATCAAAGTATATGCCGTACTTAGCATTAAGTTCTCTCCTTGACAGACCCCGCATCGCCTTTGGAATCTTCGACCATCCGCGAGAACCCTCTGCGGGGGCTGACTCGTCTGCTGCCAGAGGATCTCTTTGGGACCGGTGAAGTAGGTGAAATGATACCGATTTATTCTTGTCTATGAACCGTTTGCGACTCATGATGCTATCGGCAAACCAATCCCGATGTTCGCAGAAACAGTGTGCTCCTTCAAACTCCCACTTATATCTGGATCAGACCTGGGGGAAAATCACCCAAATTAGCACCATCATTCTGAGTGGAACAGGGATTCAGAGCTGCATCGTGAACGAATGTGTAATGAACGTGCAGCGCCCGAACAAACGTGAACAACGAAACGACGTCGAATACCCCCGGACCAGCAATTCACATCACACCCTGCTGTGTTCCATCACAGGATCGACAGAGATGAAAAATGAACACATACATCGACGACACTTTGACGACAAACGGGTCCTAAGGTTGCTTGATACTTTCAACCTAAATGCACAAGGTTTCCTGCTCCATCAGGGTAATGGCGACCGAGCTATAGCTAGCGGTATTTTGGACTGGCTCAGAATGCATGTGCAACTCCCAATGGCCTATTCCCCATATCAAAACAATTGTGGCAGTAGACTACATGCTTCTCTGCTGAACTTGCAATGAATGAAATGAAGTAAAAATGGAATGTTTCACACTTGCAGACATTGAACCAAACATCAGATAGAGCAAAAAAGCTCACTTATGAATATTGGTGTACTTTCTAAGTGGAAAAGACTGCTTCTGATATCAGACCATTCCTGTTGAGTAGATACAATGCTCAATACATCATTGTTTGTCAGCATACCTTGCAAGACATTGATTCAAGAGCCAATTGATGGCTGTTATATCTGGAAATCATGCTCACAAATGCCAGGTGTGAACCACTCAACAATCTTATTTTTCTTGGCCTTGATCGCCACATGGCCAATGGATTGGCAGGAGTTCAGTGATGTTATGTGCTGTCATTGATGCCTAGATAACATTGAATTACTTTCCCCACAATAGTCTACGCATCTTCATGGGTGTGTAGCTCATAAACCAGAGGGGTTCAGGTCTTCAGAAGGGCAGGGCTGTGGACTCCACCAAATGATCTTTAATATAGCTATTTCAGTTCAAATTCCACAAAAAACATGCAATGCTATTAAATAATATCCTCAAATCTATTTTTAAATGCTTAGGATGTTTGTGAAAAAAATTGGGAACAGTTCACAAGCTAGCCATGTTTCTGCACCATATGAATACTTCAAAATTAAGGGGCAAATGTCATCTTTTAACAGGAGCACTCCACATTTATATGAGGTTTTTGAACTCAGACATAATGAAGACCTTTCCATGCTTTTCACAATCCTGCCCTCCTTAAGACCTAAGTTTCTGAGCTTCATGCCCATGAAAATGGGGATAGGTATACCAGGGAGAGCATCTCCCAGTTGCCTTAGCATTCATGACATCCTAAGAGCATCATTTAAATCCTGCCATTCCATAAGCCACGTGACAATGGAGGCTAGGAAAAATACAATTGTCAGTGTCAGTATCTGGTACTTGTGTAAGTGAGCATGACTTCCAGATACAAACTGTCAACTGGCTCTCAATCAATGTTGCACAAGGCAAGATGACATAAACCATGGCATATTGAGGAGCATATTTGCATATTTCTATCACACTATCATACCACTCTATCATATCATATCATTCAACTATCATATCACTAGTAAGCAAATTTAAAGTTTTAAATGATGAATATTGCAAGGAGCACTAACTTAAATCAGTTACTGCAGCATTACATGTCACATGCTGATGCCCAGCCACAAAATAGTGATCTTCAACTTACATAAGCTCCTTGATCAAATTACATCACAGGATGGGTCCTACACTCCTAACAAAACAAAATAGGTCTCATGGATCTTTGCCTCTATCTGGGGACTTAGATATATGGCAACAATTAAGCTGTAATGTACTCATATTCATGCAAATAATAACCTAGCATACATTTCTTTCACAAGTCATTTGGTAGAAGTTTGAAGGCTGCAAGGCTGACAACATGGAACAAATGTCTTTGCACTTCACATTAAAAACTGTGCTGACTATTTGTGAGCTATTTGGAGCTCTGACCCTGGGTGTGTTGCTAGTTTTAGTGGTATAAGAATGGTGATAGGGCCTTGACAGAAAACCTCATACATCATATATTACCAAGACAATTTGTTCCCATAATCTATTACATGACAAATTTGTGAACAGATGGATCAAGCATCCTACAGGTTCTGAAATTTTTGCAACAATGTTGCTGTTACACTGTTTAAGCCCTTTGGAGTGGTGTGTTCCTTTTAAGTCTGCACCCCACCCACCCAGGACATTGGGAAAGAGCTGTCTTGACATAGGGACATAATTTGTGCCCAAGCGACCGAAACAGGACTAACCTGACTAGTACCACAAATCTGCACACTTAATGATGTTGCCGCCTTGAATACAAGTACTTACGAGTCTGTATGGCTGGAGAAAATTAGGTTATTTCACCATAAAATAATACTGATACTCCCAGTTACAGCTAGAATGATATCCAACGCCTCAACACAATCCACTGCCATCCATCCACCCACTCACATATGCACAACCTACCCTTGGTACCGAGCTCACCACATTCGCCTATGCCAACGCTTAGCGCACGTGACGTCAAGGCCGTGGAAAATGGATCACGCGGCAATTTTAGTGTCCAATTCACTCTACCTTAGCGTGACGTCACTGAACTCATAGTTCAGCAGGCGCCGTGAGCAGTCCCATACGTTGCGTAATATTACGGGCGGAATGATTGCTCGCCTGCCAGCTTCATTCATCTCGGCTATTGCATGAAAGGTCGGATTGGTCACTTATCATTTCTTCCAATTTTGCTATTCATGTCAACAGATGATATCGTATCAAAATGTGAACTCGATGTGGAGTCGAAGAACTTGACCTAGACTGCAACTGCGACGTTCGCAATAAGTGGGTTCCATCGGCGGTGGTGCCAATACAACAAGTCAGGCTGATGCAGTCGGGCTCATCGGTCTTGCCTCTGTTGTCGCCGCTTTCTGTACACGCATACGCACGTGCTAACGGTCCCCGAGCCAGGCCAGTTTGGACGTCAAACCGCCAATCTGGACGTCCCGGCTGATCCTGGCCGGACCGCTTGGAATGTACTACTTGCAAAACCGCGACGGTCGGCGCGCTGTTTCGACTATCACCGCGGTCACACACGTGTGTCAGTCCATGCGTCATTTCAGGGAATGCTCCACATTAAAAGATATTGAAGAAAGCGTCAAATATAATGAAATAAACTCACTTATACGATTGGAGTACTTTTTTAAGTGGAAAAGACCGCTGTAGACGACACTTTTATCTGTTGAGTAATCTGTTCCTAAGTATGTTGTTCTTTGATTACGTCGTCACAGCTTGCAAAACATTGATGGAGGGCCAATTGGCGGCCGATACATCACGGAAATCGTGCTCACGGGCTCTCGTTCACGATATATGAACCGCTCAACAACCGCATTTTCCTTGGCCTTGGTCGCCACGTGGATATTGTAATGCCAGGCTTTGAATGACGCTGTTATGACGTCAGGGATGGCTGGGGACCTTGACAACATAGTCTCCTCAAAATAATCTGCGCATCTCCACGGACGCGTAACTCAGAAACTAGGCAGACTTATGTCTTAAGAAGTGCAGTACTGTGAACTGCACCGAATGATCTTCAAGGTGGTATTTCAGCTCAAGATCCCATCTAAATATGGAACGCCCTCTTTACGCGGCTTGCTGTCCGTCCCCTTGCTTAAGTCTAAGACAGTGAGAACAGAAATCGCTGCGTCCCGTTTCTCTTCAGTCCCAACATGATGCGCCTCTCAAACAGTTCTATGGCGACGCTGGGGCATTCCAGCGGACCCGGCTAGAGAGTGGCCATTCCTCAAGCCAGACGATCCAAGGGCGACACCGGCCCCGTGCCCGGCATGGCTACAAATGACATGCAAGACAACCCTCGCCTCACTGCGAGCTACCTCGCCTCCTCATTCTTGTCACGAGAGGACTGTGAAGTAGGCTCTTTGACGTTTAAAGCACAGCACGACATCACAGCATGGCAATGTTTCGCAAAATGAGAAATGGGGGGCTGAGCAGTGAAAATGACACAATCTGCGCCAAAATATGCTAATGAACGGGTTTCCCACCCCCGGATGTGGGTGGCTCCCTGCCTTTTCCAAGTTGGCGGCGGGGGGGGGGGGGACTGGAGCCCAAGGCGGGAGAGGAGCATGAGCCCCCCACCCAACTGAATTGGAAAGCTACATCTCTGCATAACAGATCCCCCAAAATCAGGTCCCCAAACATCAGATAAGCGTAGAGGCCGTTACAATAGCTTACCCAGCACCTAGCACCTAGCGTAAGAGATATAAGCTATTAGTTTACAACGTAGCCACTAGATATCGCTACTGCTTGCACTCTGCAATTGCTACCCCGTCCCCCTTGATGAAAACACGGCGCCTTGTCTGCTGATATTCAGACGGGCTCAAGTGCGCGCCACTCGGTCCAAGGAGCGGGGTGATTGGGTGCGCGTTCGACGCTCAGCTCAGCTAGCCGACTGTGGGACAGGTGAGTCTCAGGGCACGTGGGCCGGTCGCTCCGACCGATCTTCTTTTTGGCTGTGTTCTCGTCACTCTCGTTCGTTTGTGTGTGGCGCATGAGTGGTGTAGAAGGACGGCCGGCAAGTCTGGCGTGTGCACACGAAGCGGACCGTGCGGGGGGCGGTGTGATCCCGCCGAGTGATGCAACAGTAAAGCCCGAGCTTCCGAGCCACGAGGGCGAGGCCAAAGAGGGTGGAGTGCATTCACGAGGGCGTCGAGGAGTTATCAGGCCCGCCACATCTCGATCGGGATGTTCACTGCTGGCAGGGCCGTGCTCGGTAATCCTGACCGACCAGTGGTCATGAGGAGCCGATTTGCCTTTGACTTCGGTGGGCGGCGACGAGTCTTATTGCGAGTCCCACCGCGAGTCTTCCTTCGAGTCCCACTGCGAGTCTTACTGCGAGTCTTATTGCGAATCCCACTGCGATGCAGCGCTCGGCGTCCGCTATCATTCCAACCAAAAGCGGCAATAGAATCTGAAGCTATTCTGAGTCGGACTCGGCTGCTGCTCGATTCCAGGGTGGATTCGGCCTCAATCGAGGCCAGTCTAGAACGTTTAGCACACTAGTTCAGTGTTTCCAAGGCAGGGGTGTCGATTTGTATTATTCGTGAGGGCCTTGCCCCCCTAATGTTGACTTGCCTCCCCACAGTAGCGCACGCAGGGGGCATAGGGGCACATGCCTCCCCCTTTAGTTCCAATGGGCCCTTCGGGCCATTCGGAACGTGCGATTAAGGACCCGAAAGGCCGGTCGGGGGTCTCATTCAGGGCCCCCGGCCCACAAGGCCGGGCACTCCAGTGCCAGCCAGAGGGCCTTGCGCGCTCATCAGGGGCTTGCTGAGTCGATAAGGGCCCATATTTTGGTCAGACACACCAGTAGCGCACAGTCGGCTCCGTGGCGGTATGGGCTTAAGAGCCCATTTCCCAAGCAGGGGAAAAGCGGGATCCAGCGATTTACATTGCTCGGGGCCCCACAGCGTCTAACAGGGGCTCTGTGTTCTGAAGGAGCTCCGAGTCGGTCAGAGGCAGTATCCGAGGAGACCCGATGAGCCTAGAGGGTCCATCCGGTCCGACAATCAAGGGCCCGATTGGAGAGTCTAAGTGCATAAAGGGTTGGTCGGAGTCTTATTCAGGGGCCCCAACCTGCGAAGACGGACCCTCAAATAACGGTCAGAGGGCGTTTTGTGCCGATCAGACTCTCTGAGCCGATATGGGCCTATATGTCGGTCAGGAACCACCATATCGCTTACTCGGCTCCGTGCCAGTACGGGCCTGAGAATCCACTTCCCAATTAGCTATAAAGCCGGGGCCAGCGATTTACACTCGTCTGGGGCATTGTATTTGTCAGGGGCCCAAGCACCTAACAAGGGGCTCTGTGCCCGCAAGGGCCCGAGCCGACCAAGGGAAGTGTTTGATGAGGCCCGAAGAGGGGCCCGGGCGGCCCACCGGAACCGACAACCAGAGGCCCGGTTGGAGGGCATCAGGGTCCGAAGAACTGGCTGTAGGTCACAAAAGTAATTGCGGCCTGCAGGATCGTAACCTGAAATATCAGTCAGAGGTCCCCCGTTTGAGGAACCCCTGAGACAGCGCGAGTATGTCAGTCGGTCAGAGATCACGAACGCTGAGCAGTCGGCGCCATGTCCGTCTGAGCCCTTGGGACCCATTTGCCAGGCAGAAACGAGACCGGCGTCCACGATTTACAATGTTACAAATTTTCGGTCTTGACACAATGAAGGGCTCCCATGTTGGTTAGGGGCCACAGTGCCGAACAGGGGTCCCGTTGCGGCATGTGACCCGGGGTCGGAGCGGCGTTTGAGGGGGCCCGAAGAGCGACCGAAGGACCTCTCGAGACCAATGATCAAGGGCCCGACTGGACGGCTGAAGGCTTCGAAGGGCTGGCTGTAGGTCGCACTAAAGACCCCGCCCATAGGGCCGTGATCTGAAACGTCAGTAGGATTGTCTCATGCACCGACAGGAACCCCTGAGAGGGTGTTCCTCTGTTTCGGCCAGAGATCACGAACAACGAACAGTGAGCTCCATGTTGGTCTGAGCTCCGGGGACTTTTTCCCAAGCGGGGACAAGGCCAGGCCCCCGATTTACATTGGTTCGGCTCCTGTATCGTTCAGGGGTCTACAGTGCCTAACGGGGCATTATGTATCAACAAGGGGGCCACGAATCGGCCAGGAAAAGATTTGCTGAACAGGGATGGGGGAGTCGGGAGGGGGGGGGGAGCCAAAATGACAAGGTCTCTTGCGTTGGTCGGGGCCCTCTGACAATTAAGGAAACATATGAACTTATGATGAGTGCTCACCTTGAGCTAATAGAAGAGTTCTGTGCCAGTCAGGGCCCCAGTGCCTAATGGTGTGTTCTCCAGTCCTTTTCTAGCATGGGCCCGTTAAGCCAACTGGAGTCTATGTGCCAATCATTTGACCACCTGCGGTGAGCAGGGATGTTATTGCGTTATTCAGAATGGCGTTGAATCACGGCTGCCGTGATTCCCATTCCTGCTGGTGACAGAATGACCCTTCAACTCTTGACCGGGGACAGCAAGGTGTCTCGTAGTGTTGCACTCAAAGGGGCCCTTGTGCCGGAAAGAAATAAAGGTCTCATTAGCGCCGAGTAAAGTGGGTCAGAATGAGTTCAAAACGCACAAGCCATCCCATGTCTCCCTGAGAACGTTCCTTCTTGCAGAATCGACTAGAAAGCAAATATCATCAAAATCTTTGATCCTGCACGTCGGGTGCCGATTGTGTAATGGCTCACGGCGTTGCCATATAGGCCCAGCAGCTGAGCGCGTCATAAAGCCCCAATGACACGGCCGTAATCTCGGGGAGCAAGGAAAGTGATGGCATGGGTCGCAGTCTTTGTAAAACCGAACACGGCTGGCCACTGCAAGTAACGCCAGGGGCGGCCGCCGAGCGCGTAATAATGACCATAGACGAAATAATGGTTCTAAATGTCACTCAAAATTAATTCGCACAGTTCAAGGGTAACACCGGGCGAACCTTTTTTACAACTTGGAGGTTGGCCTCTGGACAGATTAACAGTTTCAGCAACAAGACAAATACAAATTTCACCTCTGCTCATCCAGTACCATAATCAGATTCCAGCAGCATTTCGCGGTGCTGTGAAAGCCAATACGCCATTGCCATGAATCTCAAAACCGCACATGTCATATTTACGCCTGGAATTCTAAATGTACGACGTGGTGTCCAAAAGCGTCGAAAGGTATTTCTTTAAGACACGTCAGCACTTTCGTCCACCTGTTGGCCGCGATTGGTATAATACATACGGCCATGACCATGTATACAAGCCACGAAGCGGACGCTGCGCGGCCTGAGGAGACTGCAACGCCTGTCGTCGAGTTTTGCGTTACTAAGATATGCGAGCGCGCAAGCTCAAAATTACGTTACATAAGTTGTACCACTTCTTAATTCTGACAGAATGTTGGAGATATCCATGCAAGCATGACCTGGCCATTTTGATGCAAATTGTCAACACATTTTGATCTTCAATCTACAATCGTGGAATCCTTATTTCTGTACATCCCAGATCAAATTTCTGACAAAGTTTCTGAGTTCTATCGGTTTAAAGAGAGTTCACTGCACCATTGTGAAATGGAGAGCGCCGGTGATCTCTCTCTCTCTCCTCTCTCTCCTCTCTCCTCATCTCCTCCTCCTCCTATCTCTCTCTCTCTCCTCCTCTCTCTCTCTCTCTCCTCTCTCTCCTCTCTCTCTCTCTCTGTCCTCTCTCTCGTCCCTCTCTCTCTTCTCCTCTCCTCTCTCTCTCTCTCTCTCTATGTATATATGTACATGTAGGTATTAAAACATATATATATATA